TTCTGTGGAAAATTTCCAAGACGTATTGTCAAGTGAGAAAAATCAAGCTGTGGAACAATACGTAGGGATTTTAAAACCACACAGGCCCCCCAGGGAAGCAAAACCGTGTGTTTTCGTGTGTCCATATGGCAGGTGTGCATATCCACCCACAGGCGGGAGAGTCTGGGATGGGAGCCAGAAGGGGACTTCTCCTTTTCACTCTACGTTCCTCCTGTATTGTTGGAGGGATCTGTGTTTTGTTTTAGTGTTAAAAATGCATTGGAATTGTGCAGTTAAAGAAAACGTAAAACAAAATGAGACTGCCAGGCTGAGCCAGCTGATGTCTGGACTGGGCTCCTAGCGCCTCCTTGCTGGGCCTCTCTCACTGTGCGACTTTGGACAGGGAACTCCTCGTCTCTGGGCTGGAAGCAGGAATTTAAGCATTCTGGTGAAGCCGCCTGTCCTCAGGGTGCAAGCATGCATGCACACAGGTGCATACATATGCAACCATGTGCACACATGGCTATGCACCAACACACATGCAGTCGTGTGTACACACATGTACAATGCACACGTGGCCCACACCAGTACACACGTGCACAGTCATGCTTGCACACAGGTGCACATATACACCTATGTGCACACGACATGCACCAATACACGTGCAGTCACACATGCACACGTCACATGCACACACATGCTCATGTACACAAACCATACAGGGATACATGCACATACACATGCCTCTATGTACACATGTGCACACAGGGCTACACACCAATATACATGTGCAATTATGCACACACATGGCACATGTACACGCATGCTCACGTGCACACACAAACCAAGCCTGGGTACATGCACTGCACATGCCTGTATGTACACATGTGTACATGGGTCGTGTGTCCAGGCGTGGCAGTGGTGCATACCCACACCTCTGCATGTACATGCCTGCAAACACACTCCGGTATGTATGGCCTGAGGTTCTGAGTCCCTGGACCTCTGAGTCTCCCTCCAATGCTGTCTATGGATGAAGGTCCCGGCCCTCACCGGCCCCGGTGTCCTGGCGACATTTTAACAGGAGGGCAATGGGCCAAGTTTACTTCAGACGCTGGGGCCTGGAGGGGCAGCTGAATTTGCAGTCGAGAGAGCAGGGTTTGAGTCCACACCCAACACAGACTGGCAGAAGGCGTTGGTGGGCCAGCCCCTGTCTTTCTGCACTGAGGTCTCCTCTCCTGACAAGACCAGACTTGCAGGATCATTATGGGATGGGGATGGGCATTGCCAATTGGCAAGTTCCAAGCCGACGAGAGCCTCCGTGTGTACGAGCTGCCCGAGAGATTTGTTAAAGGTGGATTCTCACAATTGTTCCAGGCGGGACCTGAGGACCTGCCTTTCTCAGGCACTTCCAGGGACCCCACTCTGAGAAGTGAGAGGCTGCACAAAACCCAGGGATTTCTCCAGAACTTTCGCGAGGTGTCTGCGGGAAGGAGAGAGACAGAGACTCACCTTGCAAGGGTCTTGTGCTGGCTGCCCCATGCCAGGCGCAGTGGGAGGGAGGGAGGGAGGGAGGGAGGGAGGTTGGTCCCTCGGAGGCCCCGGCAGGTGGCACTGTCCTTCCCAGCCTGCCGGGAAGTTGGAAGGAGCCCTGGGGCCCCCCAAATCCTGTTACATCCTGGCAATTACAGTTTATTGCTGCGGCACTAATCCCTTAAAATTAGTCATTAGCGGCTTAAGAACCATTTAGCGTTGGGTGCCCACTAAGGAACTGGGGGAAGCGGGGAATCTGCCAGAACCAGAACTTTCTCTGGCCTGGCGGCCAGGGCTGGGCGGGGCCCGGGGCCCGGCGGTGCCTCCCGGGGTCCTCACGCGCTGTTTCTTTCCCATTCCACTGGCAGACGCGTGAAGAGGATTTGACAAACTCGTGGGGAAGGTTTATTAAATCAGCCCGCGAGGGAGATGTGTTATTAAGACCTCTGCTCTCTCCAGCCCACCCAGACACGTCCCTCGGGGGTGTGAGGGCTGCGCCCCACCCCTGCCTCTTCCCAGGAAAGGAGAATCCCACAATCTGAGTAGAGCCGGAGCTGCTGCATCTCAGCGCTGGCTGGGGGCCCAGCCTGTTGTAGACCCTCCCGGGGAGCCGGCAGGGGAGGGGCCAGCCCCAGGCTCCCCCCGAAAGGAAGGTGCTTTGGAGACCCCTGGCTGTGGAGGGGGAAGGGGAGACCAAGGCAGAAAGGAGCCACGGGTCCGGATGCGGACGTGAGGTTGCACTGGGGACAGGGTGGTTGTCTGTGGCCCTTTAGCTGCCAAGCCTGTCCTGACTGCCACGGAAGCCGGGGTGGAAGGCAGGTGTGGGCAGTGGCCCGGCCTGCAGCAACCAGAAGGTTCAGCAGCCTCAGATCTCGGGAAGGTGACACAAGGACTTGGGGACAGTGGGTGGAGTCCTGTGGCCACGGGGTCTGTGGCTGTGGGATCCCCTGGTGCGGTGTTTCTGGCGTGGGTGGAGTCCGTGGCCAGTGCTCCTTGGCCACCAGGTTTGGCATCGGTGATGGCAGAGTCGGCGGTCCCAGGGTCCCGGAGCTGTGGGGTGTGTGTCCACCAGGGGAGTCAGTGCCAGAGCCACCTGAGGCTGAGCCACCTCTCCACCCTCCCGTTTTCTCAGCCTCTGCCCCAAATCCTCCCGATAAATTCCATTCCTACCTGGGCTGGCTGGAGTTTAGCTCTGGCCTTGCCATCAAGACCACCACCTTTGGGGGGGCTCCTGCCTGGACCTGGACCTGGCTGTCACCCACCAGGGACCACTCCTCCTGCTGCCCCCGGGGCAGAGGCTGCGGGCTTCTGTTCTGCCTGAGGGCCCAGCCCTCTGTCCTCCCCCAGGACAGCCCCTGACCTCCAGCCTCTGGGCCCACCCTATCCCCGCTTCCCACCTGTTGGGGTCCCACCCGCCTTCAGGGCCCAGTCAGACCCCATCTCCTAAATTGCCTTGACAAGAACCGACCCCTGCCCCTCTGTGTTCACAGCCAGGGTGGTGCTGGCTCCCTGGTCCTAAAGCCCCAGCTCCATGAGTGTGTCGGGGGGGCCGTCACCGGGGCTGCTGGCAGTGAAAGGGTGGGTGGGAACAGGCACCTCGGCGCTCGGGCTGTGGCGTGGCAGGAATGGTGATGGGGAAAGCAGGGTGGTGGGGGCTGGGGTGCCAGGACCCTGGGATTGGCCTGGGGAGTATTGGCGGAGGACAGCCCAAAGGCTAGACCAGGGCCCTCGTTCTGATCATCTGTGGCCGTGGGAGCAGCATCTTGCGTGGGCCCCGGTGTGCTCAGCTGAGACGTGGGGCGGCGGCAGCCCCAGGGCTGCGATGGGGCCGGGCAGTCTGGGGCTCCCGGTTTCAGTGTGAGAGCCAGTGGCTGCCCAGCTCTGGCGGGGCCATGTCTGTCTGAGGCACATGTGTGTCCAGGGGCCGAGCCAGGGCAGAACAGCCTTTGCCTGACATGGAAACGTCTCACTTCTCCTCTTGTCTGCACAGCCTGCGTCCCGCACAAAGCCTCGTGCAGCTGAACCCCACGGGCCTCCGAGGACCCCTCCGTCAAACCCTTTGTGCCCACGAACAGAAGCCAACACTGAACGGTGACGTTGGGGGGTTGGGAGAGGACATGCAGGAGGAATCAGGGGCTTCCTGTATCAAGGCTGCAGGGCACACCCATCTCTCCCAGTGGGCCACTTAGAGGACAGTCCCCCCAACTTTCCCCGAGACCTGGAGGAAAAGGGCTTTCATGAAGGGTTTGCAGAGCCTGGTGGAGTGTTCTAATGGTGGGCGGGGGGTGCCGGGAGTGGGGTTTGTAGAGATGGTGGAGTGTTCTAATGGTGGGCGGGGGGTGCCGGGAGTGGGGTCTGTGGAGGCTGGTGGAGTGTTCTAATGGTGGGCGGGGGGTGCCGGGAGTGGGGTCTGTGGAGGCTGGTGGAGTGTTCTAATGGTGGGCGGGGGGTGCCGGGAGTGGGGTCTGTGGAGCTGGTGGAGTGTTCTAATGGTGGGCGGGGGGTGCCGGGAGTGGGGTCTGTGGAGCTGGTGGAGTGTTCTAATGGTGGGTGGGGGGTGCTGCGAGTGGGGTCTGTGGAGGCTGGTGGAGTGTTCTAATGGTGGGTGGGGGGTGCTGCGAGTGGGGTCTGTGGAGGCTGGTGGAGTGTTCTAATGGTGGGTGGGGGGTGCTGCGAGTGGGGTCTGTGGAGGCTGGTGGAGTGTTCTAATGGTGGGTGGGGGGTGCTGCGAGTGGAAAGTAGGGGGTGAGGCGGGGATGGCAGAGCTGGAGCTGCCTCGCCCTGGAGGAGTCTGGGTGGAGGCGGCAGCCCTGGGCATGGCCCTGGCCCCCAGTTCGCAGGCAGGAGGCAGGGGCCACCCTCCCCGGTCCTTCCTCCCCTGGCCCCTGCCTCAGGTCTCCCTCGTCTCAGCAGCGGCGTCTCTGCAGCGAGGCCGTTCCCCTGGCTGCACCGGCTCCCCTCTGCTGTGCTCAGACAGGGGCACCTGTACCTCTAAGGCCGGGGCTGCTGAGCCGGGTGGAGGGGACTCGCTCTCCAGCCTCGAGGGCCAGGTGCTCCATCTGCCCTGTGGGGTGGAGTCACCACACGCCCCTGGCTTTGGTGCTGCCAGCCGGGTCCAGGCCCTCCCTTGGCCCTGGAGTGACGGGCACAGAGGGCAGTCTCCCCTCGATGCGCCCTTATCTGTGAAGACAGTCCCCCCAACCCCTGTGCCTCCGTCCGGGTTCCATCAGCAAAGGGAAGCCCCGGAGCTGGGGCCCGGCCTTGAGGCAGAGCTGGACGCTGCTAAGCGGAGGGGCCTCAGCCCATGGTGGTGGGGAGGGCACCCCGGCCACCCTTGGTCCCAGCTGCCACCTGTGCGCTGGCTGTGCATTCCCTGAGTGGAGATGCCTGACCCCCACAACGCTGGGCTATGGCTGGTGGTGTGCTGACAGAGGTCCTTCCGCTCCTCCCTCCCACCCTGCTAGGGCTAGGCCACAGACACACAGGGTGGGTGGACTGTCTGGGGGAGAAGACTTTATTTCACAAGGTGAGGAACCTGGGCTGGCAGCCGACGCCCGCACACCAGGCTCTGGGACACACAGTGTCTGCACGTGGGGAGGGTGCTGGCCGCCCCAGCAGAAGTCTGACGTAGGTCTCGGCGTGTCTGTCAGTCATACCGCTGCTGCGGGGCTGGAGAGGCAGGACGTGCACCCAGCCTGTGGCTGGCGGGGCAGGGGACCCGCAGGTCCGGCTGAGCGGAGCGGCTGCAGGCTAGGCCACGGTCTGGCGGCTGAAGAGCTCGAGGGTGAGCGAGCTGAGGAAGGCGGGGATGCTGTCCTGGTGTCGCAGGTGCACTTCGATGAGCTCGCCCACGGTGTGCGAGAACTCCGTCTCCAGCAGCTGCATCTTGGAGCCCGAGGGGCTGGTGGCCTGTGGGGCAGGTAAGAGACAGGACAGCGGTCAGCCTGGCAGGCCTCTCTCCCTCTCCCCTCCCTCCCTACACAGCCCCTCCAGCCATGGGGGCTTCCCTTGGCCTGAGGACCTGGACAGGGGTAGATGTGTCCTTAACCCTGCCAGGCCTTATTCCAGGTCACCTAAAGGGACTGAATTAACCCAGGGCAGGGTCTCTGTCGTCTACACTGTTATGTGCACAGGCAGCTGGGGGTCCCAGGCATTGCGGGGTGTGCCCACCCAAGGCGCTGCTGCCTCGCCCCTTCCTCCTCCGCCTGGGGGGCTCCAGCACCTGTCTATGCACCTGTGACTGGCCCCAGTGCCACTCTCCACTGAGGCTGGAAGACCCCACGCCCTGGGCAAGTCCCGCAATGCCTTCCAGACTGCCTGGGGCCCCACAACCTAGGTTTCCCCACTTGTGAGGGGCTGCTGGGGCCAGGCGGGGTTGGCTCTGTGGGTTCTGCAGCCCAGAGGGCAGCCTCCTGTAACTGGAGAACGGGCAAGGAGGAGATGGCCTGGTGACCAGGAGCTTCCAGAGAGCACGGCAGGTGCCAGGGGACACAGGGCAGGACCTACAGGGTTCAGGTCACGCAGCAGGTCTGAGTGAGCTGCTGTGCCACCATCCTGGGCTGTGGGGGAGTGGACAGAGGCTCTTCTGAGCAGGGACTCGGTCATCTCTCTCCCTCCCCAGCTGCCCCCGAGAGCCAGCCCCACCCCAGTCGGCACAGGGCAGAGGGCTCTGGCATGGACCCACTTCCCACTCTGGAGACCACAGCAGAGATGCCGCAGGTGGGAGGGGACACACCTGTGACACACACACTCCCAAATACGGGGAGACCCCTGCTTCCCAAGCCAGGGTGCTCGGTCTCCAGACAGCTCTCACCAGGAACGACTTCTTGCTGATGCCCAAATCTGCCCAGGTGCCTGCTGGCTGGTTCTGCCCCAGTGGGCACCCAGGCCCCGACTGTCCACAGGGCTGGCAGGTGTCCCACACAGCCCCAGGTCAGGCAGGACACAAACCCAGCCCACCAGAAAGCTCCCTCTCAAACCACGTCCCTGAAAAGTCCCGAACCCAGAATATGCCCGAACTCCCACAACTCCACCATAAAGAGGACAGGGTCCAACTAAGGGGCCCTTGAACATCTTTCCAGAGAAGAGCCACACACGGCCAACGAGCTCATGCCAGGATGCCGGGCACCGGGGAAATGTGAACCGCACTGAGCGAGACACGGACCCGCCTCACGCCGACGGCCACAGAGAGCAAACAGCACAAGCTGCTGGGTGGAGGGGAATCCGACCCTCCGCGTGGCTGGTGGAGGCGTGTGTGGGGCGGCCCCTGCAAACAGCTGGCGGCTCCTCAAAGAGCTGAACGCAGAGTCCATGGGCCCAGCACGTGCCCGCGTGCCCAGCCAGGGAGTCTGAGCGCTGATGTCCCCGGCAACACGATCCCATCCCTAACAGATGGGAAGTGGAACCAGCCCTCAACCGTCGGAGAGAGAAAACCGGGTTTACCCGTCAACACTGCTTCATACAGCTGAACTCTGAGACATGCTGCCACGTGGGTAAACCCCCAAAACATGCCCAGCCAGACACAAAGACGAGTCGGCACAACTCCACGCCTAGGGGATGTCCTGGAGGGGCACATCGGGGCTCAGGGCCGGTGGAAAGGCACCACGGTTAGACTGTGGTAGCGGCTGCACACTGGATGTGCCGGGAAGAACGGAACGGTAGACTTGAGGGTGAGCCGCATGTGTGTGCATCAGAGCTCAGGAAACTCTTGTAAAGCACTCCTCTGGCAGGCAGCCCTCTGGGAACCCTCCCCAGGAGCCACAGGGCGGCCTGGCTGCACCCAGCTTCGTCCTGGCAGCTCCCTGTCCACTGGGACCTGAGCTGGGCCCGGCCCTGATGGTGGCGCCGCCCCCCGCTCCACCTTGCTGCCTGGCCTGTTCCTGTACCTCCTGTTTCTCAGGAGCCGTCCCCCGCCCTCCCCCTGTTCCTGCTGCCTTAATACATTTGGCCTTGTCATAGTTCAACACAAACCATTTTTAAACAAAAACAAGAGAAACCACTCTGACCTTTTACTGAGAAAATCCTTTCATTTCTGCCTTCTGCTCTTGATTCTGAATTTCTCCCCCTAAATGTCAGAGGTGCTGATTCTCCTGCAGCTGCCGGGCAGGGGTGGGAGGCAGTGTGGGAAAAAGTCTCCTTAGCCGGCACCTTCGCCCTCCTCCCAACCCGGGGCTGGCAACCTGGTTGGGCCTGCAGCACTGAGGTACAGACTCCGGCCAGGCTGGACCGAAGAACAGCTGTTCCCCAGGCACCCACCTTCCCTGGCCCTCAGAGGCTGGCAGGCTTTGGGAGCCTGGCCATTCTTTTCTAAAAATATATATATTTTTTAGAGACAAGTCTCATTGTCATCCAGGCTGGAGTGCAGTGGCATGATCATGGTTCACTGCAGCCTCGAACTCCTGGGCTCAAGTGACCCCCCCCCCCAGCCTCCTGAGCAGCTGGAATTAAAGGCATGTGCCATCACACCTGGCTAATTTAAAAATTTTTTTTTTAGAGACAGACTTCAGCTTTGTTGCCCAGGCTTGTCTCAAACTCCTGTCTTGATGTGAGCCTCCTGCCTCAGTTTCCCACGAGGTGAGGATTACAGGCATGAGCTCTGATCATTCTTTATTTGAAACAGGTGCACCCTGCCAGTGTCAGCGAGACAGCTGCTCCCAATGGTAGGCCGGGTCGCCCACCCACGGCTCCTACAGCACCTCCTCTCTGCTGGCCTCAAGTGGCTCTGGAAGAATGATGCCCTAAGATTCCGTACTGCCCTCCAGGTTAGGGCGGGGGTGGACGGGGACAGGCAGGAGTGACCAGTACTACTCTCCTAGCTCAAGCCCCACACAAAGGCAGACCCAGTGTTTGCAAAACACCAGCCCCCCGCGAACAAGTCAAACCGCCCTGCAGCCCACCTCTGACTCCGTTTCCCCCAGCGTACCCGGCCGCATTGGGAGGGGCCGTCCCACTGACTCCATTTTCCCCAGCGTACCTGGTCTGCATTGGGAGGGGCCACCCCACTGACTCTGTTTCCCCCAGTGTATCCGGTCTGCACTGGGAGGGGCCGCCCCACCTCTGACTCCGTTTCCCCCAGCGTACCCGGTCTGCACTGGGAGGGGCTGCCTCAATGACTCTGTTTCCCCCAGTGTACCCGGTCTGCACTGGGAGGGGCCGCCCCAACTCTGACTCCGTTTCCCCCAGCGTACCCGGTCTGCATTGGGAGAGGCCGCCCCACCTCTGACTCCGTTTCCCCCAGCGTACCTGGTCTGCATTGGGAGAGGCCGCCTCACTGACTCTGTTTCCCCCAGTGTACCCGGTCTGCACTGGGAGGGGCCGCCCCACCTCTGACTCCGTTTCCCCCAGTGTACCCGGTCTGCACTAGGAGGGGCTGCCCCACCTCTGACTCCGTTTCCCCCAGAGTACCCCGTCTGCATTGGGAGGGGCTGCCCCACTGACTCTGTTTCCCCCAGCGTACCCGGTCTGCACTGGGAGGGGCCGCCCCACCTCTGACTCTGTTTCCCCCAGTGTACCCGGCTGCATTGGGAGGGGCCGCCTCAGTCTGACACCCTCAGCGGCACTCTGGCATTAGCAGGACCTGCTGAATGAGTGGCACCCAGCCCATCCATCTCTGCTCAGCCCTCTGCCATGTTCAAATATCACACAGTCCCCAGGTACCTCGTAAATCACTGTAATCAGGGGCTGCTCACTTAAAATTAGAGCGCAATTTTTTAAAAAGCAAATTGCCAGTGAGACACGTTGGCTGTGGCTGGAAATATTTATGGGGCGGCCTGCTTGCTGGCTGTGGCTTCCTCTCCCTTCTGTCTGGCCGGCCCGAGCTGCCACCTGTCTAGTCGGCACATACAGCGGCCGTGTGGCTGGCGGGTGCCCTGGGGGAGACTGAGACACTCACTCTTAATGAAGACACTCTCAGTGTCCATTGTGGCCACTGCACTCCAGCCCAGACCCTGACTGGCCTGGCCTGGGGCTCACCTGCCCCTCTGGAAGCAGAGCGGGCCTGCCCTGGAGGGTCGGGGGCCTCTGCAGCTTGTCTGTGGAACACATGGGCCGGGAAGTGCATGCCCGGCCTCCATTCCAGCTCTGCCACGTGAGCAGGTCTCTGTGCAGTGCTCATACGGTGACCGGGGCTGCGGGGCCTTAGCGCTGGTCCTACCATCCCCTGAGCTGAGCCCCGTGGTGTCCCAGGGGGCACGGACAACAGACACGGAGTGAGGGAGGAGTGCGGGCTGACGAGGCACTTGGAGAGCAGAGACAGCGCCTCTCTCCACACACCACCAACCGCAGGATGTGGTGGGGCTCGGAGGCCAAGGGGGAGGTGTGCAGGATTCCTGTCGAGAGCAAGACTCCCTGCGGCTGAGGGTCCAAGAGCAACTCCATGAACAGGGAAACTCGAGGGGAGGAAGCTAGAGACGGAATGAAAGAAGCCCTGAGTCCTGGCTCAAACAAGCAAAGCTGAAATAATGCATTAAAATGAGAAAACATGCAGGAAATGGAAACGATGCTACTTTGAGATACTGGGAAGTTATGTGAATCCTGTTCATCTGTGGGGTGGCATGAAGAGGTGGAGGCCACACCAGTGGACATCAAAACCAGAAACCAGTCAGCGAAAACAGGAAAACTGGGTAAGTGCCTGGAAATTAAACAGCACACTTCGAAGTAATCCACGACTCAAATGGGATGCCTCGAAGGAAATAAAAAAGAACAGAAAGGAAACAAGAATACAGCATAATAAAATTTGCCGGATGCACCCAAGGCAGTGCTTAGAGGGAAACTGACAGCACTCAATGCCTCTATCAGAAAAGAAGAAAGATCTCAAATCAATTCTCTAAATTCCTACTTTAAGAAACGAAGGCCAAAACAAGCCTGAAGCAGGAGAAGGAAATAAAAGTAGGAATGAACGGGAAAACAAA